CGACTTTAACGATGCATTCTCGGGGTAAAGTAGTTGTGCAGTAATTTTCAAAAAGACTCGTAGAATAATGACATAAACCCTAAAGTAGGTTTGGGAGATTCATGCTTGGCATGCTACGTGTCAAACACTTCAAAATATTTAAAGAAGGGCTGCTGCTTAATCTCATGGTTACGTCTTACCAGGTATGTTCCATAGGGCATAATAACAATGATGAATCAAACTTTGGAATGGAAAAATGTGGATGATCATTCGTTGGTGTGAATATATAGAAAAGATCAAGTAGAGTGCTGAGATGATTATTGTTCCCAAAAGGGATGCAAAATATTCAAAGGAGTAGTTGCATGTCAAAACAAAATGATCAAATTAATTATACATGGGATTATATATGCACAATCTTGGCCAAGTTTACCACACTAATTACAACTTGTACTTGTATCTACAATCTTGTTTTGATTTTGTTCTGTTCCCCTCCCCCTCCCTTTCTCTATTTTTTCCTCTGCAAACAAGCAAGTTAGGCTTTAGTTAGCGTATGGTCTTGTTTCTTGTACATTTCTTGTCCAAAAATATAAAGTTATAGTTATGAATTTGTGCTAGGATATAGTATAAGTTAGGTTGGAACTCGGAGGAGTCCATGTTCTACATATTTAGACTTAACGTACAACATTCAGAGTTTCGGAGGGACGGAACAATAGATGTGAAGCCAGGGATCCCAGGCAGGGAGGTCGCTAATAAGTTTTATGTTCAGTGCCACGGATCACCATACGTATGAATTTACAACTTATCCATTTGCTGCAAGTATTTCATATTCAATTATAAAAGTAATTATATGATCATTGCTGGCTAAATATATAATGATTGGGCTAGAGGAATACGGACAGGGTCGAGCTGTCAAACTTCGGCTGAGCCTAAGCGGGCCTAAGGAGGGGTCCATATCATGGCTAATGCTCAAATTTGACCCAACAAAATACATGACCCTTAACCTATTGTAATCATTTATCCCTGTCCCCGCAGTCTTCTTAATTTGTATGAGCGAACAAACTGCCCTTTCTATCTATATTCTGTCTGCTCTCCGGTATTTCCACATCAAAGTCACGCAGTCACATTTCCATACATATCTTAAATGATGAAATATAAAGCGCTCCATTTGTTCCAAGTATCTCTATTCACTGAAATAAAATAAAATGGCTCCAGCACATTTAAAATATTACGGCAACTCAGTACCTAAAACTACTATATCCTCCCAAATTGGAGGAGGAAGAGGACCTATAGCCTCCAACACCAGACGATCCATACCCTCCTATATGCGATGATGCATATGTTGAACTATACGTGGTCTCTGGCAACTGGGAGTATGCACTCAACCCTGTGTCAACCTTGCTGTATATGCTTGGTGCAGGTTCCTTATGACTGCTAATAAACTCCTGCAAAAAGAACACCACTCAAAGCTGTTAAAACAATATCTTACATGTTAAGACCTGAATTTGTACAGAGGGAAATTCACTCAACAATTACTATCTCATCTAACTTATGACACAGAATTGATGATAGCTACCTGGATTAACTGTTGGGCCATCTGAACTTGTGAAGTGGTGCCCTTGATTTCCACCGTAATCTCATCCGGTAAACCCCCACTCTCCTGTATTGTTAGGATTGCTCCACTTGCACGGCGAATATATGCAATATTTGATCCACCGACACCAATGATGTCCTCTGCATAGGACAATGGTACTTGCATCGTTTGCATCATCTAAAACAAAGAGTACCCATGCTAATGTTCAATCCAAAAAGAATAAGCCAACCCAAAAAAAAAGAAAAAGAAAATAACAAAGAATTGGCCTAGAGGAATATAAAATAATAATAATTACAAAGAAACTGAAAGACTGGGAAGACATTCACATAATTCTTCTACCAATGCAATTGAAGCCAGAATGGTACACATAAGAAAGGCTCTATCATTTGAGATCATTTCCTAACTACCACCTGCAACAAATGGATGCAGAGGTATCCTGAGATACTATAAAAACCTATCTTGAAATGAGCACATGTAACATAGCAACACTAGCAGCAGCAATATTTTTACTGTTTATGATTATCTTCATAATAATTACCTAAAAGCTCATTCTCATATGTTGATAATAAATTGCCAAACCTGAGTAACTATAGGAGCAGCAGCACGACTAACTCCACTTGAGCGAATTGCTCCAATTCCATGATCTTGTCCATATAGTGACAGTCCTGATGCAGGAATTTTGGGTTCTAGATGAGTTTCACGATCATATAAAGGATCCCGCTTCAAAGACAGGGAATAATCAGAACCAATCCCAGTTTGATGAGCAGAAGCAGAATGTAGTGAGGACTGAGTTCTATCAGTCCAGGCATCAACCGGACGCTCCTGTGATATTTTTGCATGGTACTGACAAAAGCATATGTTTCAGTACAGCTTACAGTTTAACACTTACAACTCTGCAAACATGTCAAGTAGAAATTTCAGGTCTAACACTTACAGTTTTCTCAAAAATAGGAATGACGCTTTGGTCAACCAAGAACTTCCTCAACTGTCCCAATACAGCTTCTAATGCTTTAAGAACCTTCAATGCTTCGCCGTGTATCTCCACAATTCTCTCATCTGAAGAAGCATAGGATGGCACTTCATCTGAAATAAATATAAATCTCAGAACCAAGCTGCTTTGAATTCAAGGGGAAAGAAATAAGGTACAGCAAATTTAGAAAAAGAAGTAAAATATACAGAAGATGGGGACTTGTTCAGAAATATACAACATGAGGGAAGAAAAGGAAGAGGATGAAGAAGATGCCACAAGAGGAGTTTATTTGATAGTTAAGGTGGGGGTTAAGGTGGGGGGTATTTAAACTCAAGACCTCAACGTTAGAGGTAGGGTGTGGCCACAACTAGGAGATTGTCTCTGCCACCAAGATATCCCATCAAATTAGCAAATAGAAAACCAAGATTTGGGCTCTAACAATCAGCTAGGAAAGTCTTAATCCGAGTGAGTTAACTAGGTCAGCTTTCTTAAAATCCTCGTTTGGTTCTAGTAGATAACTAATTTGAGGAACCATAAACCAGTAGTGTATATGCAAACAAAAAGCAAACCAAAAGGATGGAATGCAGAAGTCAGGCATTAGTTTGCTTGATTTTGCCTTTTAAACTGAGATGTTTTACAAAATGGTAATCTTATTCAATTCCATTCTACCTTCACTGTTACTGACACCATTCTTTCACTCAGTGGGGGTCATCTCCTTAAATTATGGCGAGCTAAATACATGCCGATCCCACCTAAGTATAAGTAGTCAATGCCAAAAGAATTCCAATAAGAAGGGAAACGAAAACTAAAAACATGGAGAATGAAACAGAGGTCCCAAGTAAGCAAGGATAATAGAGGCCCACCACACCAGAAAACTGATAGAGTGACACTTAAACATCAAGCAAAGCCGTAAAGAAGAAAATCAACAATGGTAGTTTAAACATTGTGATGAAGAAACACAATAAAGACAGAAGAAAAACATCATTGAAGCTGTTCCATGCAACAATTGTAGCAAATGTTTTGCAAAAAGAGAAAAATTGCACCTTCTGATAAAACCCGGACAGAAGCATCGGTGGCCTCCTGAATAGATTTAATAGTTGAGCCTTGCTTCCCAATCAAATTGATTGCTTGGGAAGATGCCACCAATAACCTTATAGAACAAAATGCTGCCGCAGCAACGTCACCTTCGCTAGTTGATAGACCAACCACACGTTTAAAAACTCTTACAGCAGCATCCATTGCAGGGGAGAGTGAGAAATCTGGCTCTTCTTTTCCAGATATTAGAACCTAGAAAAGGAAAAAAAACTTTGCCCTAGGTGAGTAAGACATAACTACGCTGCACGGAATGAATAACAATTAATAAGATAAACAAATAAAAAGATGGAATTTTTCGTTTGTGGGAAAAACCCTAGAGTTATTGTAGGAACTGAAGGAATGAAGAGAAAAGGTAACAGACAATGCGATCAGGAGTGCCAAGGGGGCCTTCGAGGATGCGAATGCGAGCACGAGTTTCGTCGCACATCTTCTTCACGAGCTCTCCCTTACGTCCAATGATGCTCCCAACCTTTGAAACCGCCACTATCAACCTGAACACGTTGCATCCTGGCCACCCGGGCCACTTCTCCGCCGCCGCCTTCTTAATCTCCAATTCTCCTGCATCTTCTTCTTCTTCTTCTTCTTCTTCTTCTTCTCCCCCCTTTTCTTGCTTCGCCGTTACCTGCTCTGCCAAAGCCGCGGTCGTCTCCGGAGGTGATGGAGAAGGAGCGTCGGATGCCGGCGGTTCGGCGTAGACCGCTGATAGAAATTTCGTCCTTCTTGTTGTTAGAAGCCATTGAATTTTTATTTCGCGTGCTTGTTCTTCTGTGCTTGCGCTTTGCGAGAGTGAAAAGAATGGCGCTGAGTTTAGCGGTGTCGCAGTTGGACAAAAGCAGAAGCTTTGCCTCAGGAGTTCAGTTTCGCTACGACTTTATGCCCACCTGTCATCCGGAAATGAGTTTATTATTACTACACGGTTTTGAGTTTTTTATTTATATATTCTTCTTTTTAATAATTTAAAAATTTATTTTCATGAAATTCTTATTTAAAAATAACTTTTTCTTATAAAATATTAAAAAAATTTAAATTATTTTAAAAATATGAATAAAATTTTTATTGTATTCAATCAAATTTTTATATTTTTAATTTAGATAAAATAAATCTTAATAACAAATTATTAATTAATAATGAAATCTTTGTTACGTATCATTTATATTAATAAATGATATCGTTACAGACATTTCACCTTTCACTTCAACCTCACATCATCGCTGAATGAAGATACAATTTCTCTAAGAAGCTCTAACTATTTCTTTGAAAAATAAAAGACTTACAAAAGGAAACATTGCTAACGTACCAATCTCAGCTGAAGCATGGAATAGATGGACTCTTCAGCTTTAAACTTCCAACATCATCACATACTACTAAAACAGTAAACATCTGATTGCATATTTGATTTAAATGGAGGTTGCAGCTTGACAACCATCGAGCAATGGGGGTACAGTAAATGAATAAGTGTGTACACCCAGGCCACAAGCCCATGAAAGCAACTCAGTGATCCACATATAATAAGGTTAAATAGGAAGGAAAAGTTACATTATTGATGAAGCTTCTCAAACTATCAGCACCAAACCACCATTTGCAATTATGTCCTACAGCTGATGGACTGGATTGGATTGGTTATCTTTTTGTCCGCTATGGAGCCACCAGATGATCTCTCCTCAGTCTCCACTACGCAGAATACCTTGTACTTGTAGAGACCAAATAGGGCTCTAGAAGCCTCCTTTTGCAGTCTTCTCCATCATAGAGGACCTTGGTGCTTCATAAACCAGATGGATACAAGTACTCAGTAGAAGATAAACGTACAAACCCATGTTTCTGTAGAAAATATAACAAGCTATAGATTATGTGCCATGCAATCTTACTTCATTTCCATATTTTTGGGAATCTTCACTGCTACAAGGGCCTCAAAAACATTGCCACCAGCCCTAACCTTGTTTGCTGGATGATGAGCTGAATCTACCATATGCATACCATGGGAAGCTTGAGAAGACGAAGGTTAATGTAGCCCCCATTCTCTATATTCCAGCAAAAACACATAGCCTGTTCATCATCTTAAAAAAATATGTAGCCCATTTTAGTCCCGGGAAAAGACTAATTAGCAACAATGTCTAGGATTTGAGAGCTATTCCATTCACCAGAATCACAAATTATACTAAAAATCAAATGCCTAACAATAAAGATAAATTTAGACAAATACCTTGGTCCTTATGTGTCTTGGAACAAAAGTTTTAGCAGTCTCAAAGCATTTAGTTTTCCTCATTCTATGCAGTGCTCTTGCTCACTGTTAATTCAATTTCCAAACCATGAGGTGATTTAAACCTTATTTCGGGATCCCTCTGATCAAGCAGGATGTGTTGTAAACTGGAGGTTACCCCCATCTGATGCAACTACCAGTCTTAGTCAGCCTGCAGTTCCTGCCAAGCACCTGGAACTGAATGATTACAGGAAAGCTTTATGGATTCAAACCACATGCACGTGAGCATGCTCATGTGTACGAAAGAGAGAGATGCTAGAAATTACCATTAAGTTGTAATAAATACAAAACAAAAGAGAACTTCAGCATATTAAGAAAAAAAGCTTAAATAGATGGTAAAAGACGCATACCTCCTTAAAGAACACATGTAAGACTCAGCCTCCAAAATCCCAAACACTTGACATCATTCAAAACTTGGACTTTCGAAACCATGACTAGAAAGCAAATATGGGTGTTGCTTTTCTTGATACCTGTATCTGATTAAAAAGGATAAATCATTTTTTCCTCATCAACCACTTCTAATAGAGAGCAAATGCCTTAGTCAGAATTCCTCAATTTCCACTACTTTTTAATAAGTTTCTCATAGGGAACATGATCAATTTGTACACCAGATCTCTGAATCTTGGCAAAAAGCTCTTTTGCCTCCTTGATGTTACCTCTCTTCCAGTGACCTCTAACAGTTCTGTATAAGTTATTATATCAGGTTCACAGCCGCCTCTCAGCATCTCATCATGTAATTGAAGTACAAAATCAAGCTGTCCAAAGTTAGAAGCAGCACCTATCAATAAATTATAGGTAACCACATCCGGGAAAAGGCCATTTAAAAGCATCTCCTTTTTCACAGAATATGCACTTCGTAAATTTCCTCCTTTCACTAGTGCATGAATTAATGCATTAAAAGTAAATACATTTGGTGAAACACCAAATGATAGCATTTGACCTATAATAGATAATGCATTCCTAAAATCTCCACATCTTCCATAACCATGAATTATAAGGTTCCATATAAGAGGCACTGGCAGTATGGACTTCTTTAACATGCTGAGAAGAAATCATTAGCTTTCACAATATCTCCACAGGAACATAGGCCTTGAATAATTACTTTATAAGAAATCTGATCTGGAGCAATACCCATTCTTAGCATAACACCATGAATGTGACAAGCCTCATCAAATTTTCCCTCCTCGCAGAGAGCACTTACAAGTGTGTTATAAGTAACAACATCAGGAAGTAAACCTCTTCTAAGCATTTCACCACAGTATCCATAAGCAACCTTCCTGTTCTGACTCAAACAAAATCCGTGAATAAGGACATTATAAGCAACAACATCAATCTGAATATTCTTTTGAAGCATCTCATCCCAATATCCAAGAGCTTGAACCATATCCCCACTCTTAAAACTACCATCCATGAGTATAGTTGAGGTTATCAAATCTGAAGTTGCTTTCGAATTGTCATCACTTAAAATCTCTCTAAGAAGGTTCATAGCATCTCTTAATAGACCTCTCTTCAACAATGCATGCATAAGTATGTTACAAGTAACTCTATTAGGCCTAATAGAACAACTGGCCATAGCGGAGAAAAGATATAGAGCTTTATCCATATCATCTATAAGACAGTAGCCCTTGATAAAAGTGTTGTAAGTCACACGGTTTGGAGGTGGACCCTTTTCTATCATCTCACGAAAAAGACAATCTGCTTTCTTCATGTCACCTATTTTGCACAGGCCATTTAGAAGATAATTGTGTGCAAGTATGTCAGGAATAATACCTTTCTGCATCATCTTCCTCCGCAACATTAGAGCTGATCCCAACTTCCCATCCGAACATAAAACCTGAATTATGGCTTCACCATTGTCCTCCCTTAACATCTTCCCAAGAAGCTTTGGAGCATCTCTAAGAAGATGTCTCTTGCACAATTTATGCACAAGCATACTACATGTAACCCTATTTGGCCTGATACCGTGGCTAGTCATAGTGGAGAACATATAAAGGGCTTTATCCACATCATTGAAAGGCAACATCCCTGATAAAGGTGTTGTAGGTCACATGGTTGGGAGGTGGACAATTTCTTAGCATGTCCTAAAAAGCCAATCTGCCTTCTCCATGTCACCTTTTTTGCACAAGCCATTTAGAAGATAATTGTGTGTAAGCACATCAGGAATAACACCTTTCTTTATCATCTCCCTCCGCAACCATAGAGCTGCTCCTAACTTCTGCTCCAGACACAAATCTTTAATCATGGCTATCTGTCCAGCATTATCATCACTTAAAATCACTCCAAGAAACTTCATAGCATCTCTTTCTAGACCTCTCTTCAACAATGCATGCATAAGTATGCTACAAGTAACTCTATTTGGTCTAATAGAACAGCTGGCCATAGCTGAGAAAAGATAGAGAGCTTTATCCAAATCATGTATAAGACAGTAGCCCTTGATAAAAGTGTGGTAAGTCAAACGGTTTGGAGGTGGGCCTTTTTCTATCATCTCACAAAAAAGACAATCTGCTCTGTTCATGTCGCCTATTTTGCACAGGCCATTAGAAGATAATTGTGTGCAAGTATGTCAGGAATAATACCTTTCTGTATCAGCTTCCTCCGCAACATTAGAGCTGATCCCAACTTCCCATCTGAACATAAAACCTGAATTATGGCTACACCATTGTCCTCCCTTAGCATCTTCCCGAGAAGCTTTGTAGCATCTCTCAAAAGATGTCCCTTGCACAATTTATGCACAAGAATACTACAAGTAACACTATTTGGCCTGATACCACGGCTAGTCATAGTGGAGAACATATAAAGGGCTTTATCCACATCATTTGAAAGACAACATCCCTTGATAAAGGTGTTGTAGGTCACACGGTTGGGAGGTGGTCCAATTTCTAGCATCTCCCTAATAAGCCAATCTGCCTTCTCCATGTCACCTTTTTTGCACAAGCCATTTAGAAGATAATTGTGTGTAAGCACATCAGGAACAACACCTTTCTTTATCATCTTCCTCTGCAACCACAGAGCTGCTCCTAACTTCTGCTCCAAACACAAATCTTTAATCATGGCTATCTGTCCAGCATTATCAGCTTTCAAAGTGCGTACCTTGAATCCTAACTTTGTCAATGATATATTTTCCCTGCAAAATCTCATATAGAAATGAAAGACATTATAAGTGAGAATTTTCTCATTTATAAGTCATTGAGTCATCCATGACGAACACTCTCGAAATGCTTATGTAAAACAATTGGAAGGTCTTAATTAACAATCAATCAATCCTGACATAAAAAAATAATATTAAAAACAATTTCAAGATCCCAAGAGCAAGATCATTTCTTAACATCAATACGCAGCCTTGATTTAAAGAAGTTTAACCAGATATCAACATATGTATATTATTTATACCCAAAGGCAGATAAAGCAAGTGTTACTTCAACTATGAGTTCAAGTCTCAAGATGCTTAAAATGTATATTTGAAACTCTTAAAAACAAAGTAGTATATCCAATCTATAAGACATTATAAAAGTCAAACAAACTCACAAAGTAGGCCTATGATTTCAAAAGAAGAAAAAGGGAAATAACTATCTTTATCACATATTGCAGATAACATTAATTTAGTGTTCACTTTCTCTTTTGAGCCACATGTGTTAGATTGACACAGATAAGTCATAACATTATGCTCAAGCAAAAATAAAATGCATGAAGCATTCAAATTTTGATTACAAATCATCAAAGTATAATAGAAATCACCACATGACTGTTTCCTTAGTTTTCATTAAACTCATTGGTTGTATGAGATGAGCATGGAAACAATATTAAATGGTCGTGCAATTCTCCTGTTTCAAATTTTAGAAGGAGAAGAAACAAAGCTGTGATTCCAACCAAAAAAAAAAAGAATCAAGAGCTAACCTCATCGTTTTCAAACGCTCCAAACTCTCCTTTAGTGTTGCATCTAACACATTGAACACTGCCTGTGGGTCTTGTTTGCCATTGAAATCTTTCTTCTTAAAACACCAATCTTGAGTTCTCAACTGATACTGATCACTGGTAGCTGGCATGAGATCTCCAACAGCAGAAAGTGGATTTTCAACTTTACTAGTCCTTCACGAATTTTCAGGTCCATAAATTAGAAAACAAAATGCAAGGCAAGGTGCAATATGCTCAACAAAATGAACTCCATAAAATGTTTTGTTTAGGCTGATTAAGCTTTCTATTGGATGGTTCCATCCAAAAAAACAAACACTTATGGGAAACTCAGAGTGGTTGTTTGTCTATATTGGGAATTGTTAAGAGGATGAGTCCTATTTGTTGGATCACTCTGTAGGTTATTCTTTGTTTTATCGCGTAGTTTTTTAGGTCTCCTCGGTTAAAGTTTAGCTGCCTACCCCAAGTACCCTTTTCCTTACCTTGGACTGTACCATTAATGCATTTACATAGCAAAACTTAAAACACCAAATCAAATTAAAGCAAAGATGGTTAAACAGCTAGAAGAACCTTAGAGATTCTTCAAGTTATTTTCCCCACAAAACATAACGATATAGCATGGCTGAACTAAACTTGGAAGGGAGATTCATCTGGAAATCAAAACAAAAAAAGTTACCTTGCATTTGGATTAATGCTCAAAATGTTGGCCACCATTTGCGCAACATTGTACTTAATGGAATCGAGTGCTTGATTCAAGAACCGAATCAGAAAAACATGAGACGATGAGCATGACATTGATTCCCCACAGGCAATTGCTAGCTGGATAAATTCAAAAAACCATTTTCCTTTTACCTTTCAATGCTTCTTTTTTACAAAGAAGAACAAAAAAGAAAACGGGAACTCACGGCCATTGGATTAACGTCCTCGTAGGGCAAGGAATCTCAGTAGCTTCTAACTCTGCAGCATCACTTCCTCTCCCTTCGCGGTTGCCCAGACGCAGTTGAGGCGGAAGTCGGAGGACCTTTGCTCCGTTTCCTCTTTTCTTTGGGCTTACCGGGTTTCCTTAGATTTTGGACCTCGACTTCGAATGGGCAGGGAACCTTAGCCCAAACCCCTCTCTTTGGAGGTAAGTTGGAGATTCTCACGTATACCTCCAGTGTACAATCTCCGGATACATCAGCCCACGTGGCGGATATTTAAAAATGACAAAACGAAAATCACTCGCAAAGTGTGCAGCCCACATCCGCGGTTTAAAATGCTAACCGCTCCTTCACCTTTCCATTGCAACTTGTAATTTGTAGAGTAGAATTCCAGCGGTAGGAAAAATCTTTACTTCAATTTCCCGGTAATTCTCATTTCTGAAAGATGTTCTTGTCTAATTTATCGTTTATTTCTGTCGGTCAAGATGCTGCATGTCTCTGTCTCTCGACAAGAGTTTAATTGCTGTTCCGTTATATGTTGGAATCAATCTAAGCCATGGCTTTGATTATTGGCGAGAAAATGGATAAACTGGATTCGCTAGTTGAATACTTATGAGATATAGACATGTTGCAATTGATTGAACTTTCTTCTAAGATACTCCAGTAGGTGTTCATTGACAAATAATATACTCGAAAATTTTAGATTTATCATGGTTTTTGTTTTGTTAAATTTATCATTGTTTATCGGATGTAATCTTCGTTTTGCGAACATGCGTACTTACTAAACTCTAATCGGTGAATTTTTGCTCTTGGTGTGTGCTGAAACGATTTGCGAATGTTGAAACCAATGTTCTGTTAACAGTGGTGGCAGGAATATGTTTGCAGAGCGCTGGCAGGGCTTGGAATGTGGTGAAATCCTTCACGGTGGATCAAAACTGCTGACTGCCAGCAATACATGTATGACTTCTGAACCAACTCTGCCTTGCAAACGAAGGAAGCTTCTGAATAACGCCATTATTGTGTTTCCTGGTGAGCCAGAAGCAGATGAACTGCCTTCATCTACAGTCAGCGGAAGTCCTTCAAAGACTCAAATCTTGTTCGGAAATAATTTGGTTGCTACAGATCCTATTACTGCTGCACACAAGTATGAAAGAGATCTAGTTGGTTCTGATGCTCTTGCAAATTCACAGGGCCTTGATAGCGGTCCTGGTTTAGACATTAAATTATCTATGAGTTTTGACCATGATTCTGAATCACAGTTGATACGCTCTGACAAAACGAGCAGATCTGATGGTTTGCGTTTACTGGAAGGCAAGACGGGGGATTGTTTTGGTGTTACTAATAAGACTGAAGTTAATAAACCCTATGGTGATATTAAAGGAGTAGAGGAGGGAAAGGAAGACCGCTCTATAAGAGATCTCTGCATTTCTGTTCTCAATAGCCAAAGGTTGCCTGTCAACGACTGGTCTAGTACAAGTAGTCCTTTCACACAACTTCCAGAAGTTTGTAATGATGGGCCTTTTACCCAAACTTGTAAACAGTGTGGTAATTCTGAAAGTACACTGGAAATGTTACTTTGTGATCATTGTGAAGAGGCATATCATATAGTTTGTTTGAACCCTAGGTTAAAGAAGTTGCCAACTGATGAGTGGTTTTGCCATCACTGTTCAAATATGAATTCGAAAGTTCTCCAAGAAACTTCCTCTCTTAAATCACCTGTTCCAAGTTGGAGGAGAGCAACTGCTAAATTTGAAATGGGTCCAATAGCAATCATGTTGAAATATCCTGAGCCATACGTGTCCCATGTCAGAATTGGCAAACCATTTCAAGCAGAAGTTCCTGAGTGGTCTGGTCACGTTCCCAAGTATGTTATACCTTTAGAGCTACAAAGTAATATCAGATATGTTAGCAAGCATATGTTCTTGTACTTCTTCCTCTTTCCAACTTTTAATTTAGAGTATTCTGTGATGGTTATATAGGAGCCAAGTTCTGGTGCTATGGTAAATATCCAGACAGCTTCTACTTGATCTTGCTATACTCGCTCTTGTATGAATTCTCCTACTATGTGGATTTATTGGTGAACTGAAGTTTTAACAGTATCCTTTCTTTTGTAATACTGTTTTCTTTGATGGTGCAGTGATGGTTATTTCTTTGGTGAACCATTGGAATTGGATCCAGCAGAAACTGTTGCTTCAAATGTAAGAAATCTTTTTCAGCATGGCTAGTGGATCTTCTTTGGCTGTAAAGCTTCAACTTTGAGAATAGCTAAATTTTGAAAATAGGATTTGGGAAATATTGGGGTGGAATAACATGTATTGTGGCTTCTCAGGTCCGCTGGTGGTTTCCCAAGTCCAATTCCTTGAGCAATTGGCTCCAATGTCGAGAAGTCCATTATGATGATGCAAGAAATTGTGTTGGCGGAACTGTATGTGGGAAATGGCGCAGGTAAATACAAATGCATACTTTCTCCTCTTTTCCTATCCTGTGGGGATGCGGAGTCCACCTGGATCACAAGTGTTAGAGGAAATTCTAAAACAATTGTGAGAGCAATTCTACCAGTTTGCCTTTTGTTAACTTCCCTAAAAATGTAGGAAAAAATTTTCATGGTAATTCTACCTCCCTGCTGCTATTTTTGTATGGGCTAATGCTCATAAGATTTGCTGTAATAAGAAGGCAAATCTCTATCATATTGTTTTGTGACTGATATTGTCACGATGCAATAGGTGCATAACTTTTATAGAGCACAGATATGAAGTTCTATTATTTTCTTTAAATGAGAAGGCACATTTTTTATCTCACTGGCACTTTATCAAATTTTTTTCCCTTATCCAATGTAATTGTGCACTTAAAAGTAAAACAAAATACAAGCATCACTTTCATACATCCCTTTTACTTACTTGAAGCCCTGATAATACAGGGCACCACTTTCTGAAGTCCAAACTGATAACTGGGACTGTTCTTCTGCTGTTGTTTGGGACCCAGCTCATGCTGATTGTGCTGTTCCTCAGGTATTCTTCTAGTCTCCTCTATTATTTTGAACACTTCCTGCTTAGTAAGAGGTTTGCTCTGCTAAATTCTGTCTTGCATGTTACAAGAGTAGATATGTCGTGGGGTGTGCCTGTGAGTATGGACTTTAAATCGTCATCTACCTTTTCCATGCATTTTTCTTTGTAAATCTTAAACAGTTTTCTATCGTGTTTCACTAGTGGTCAGCGTAGTTCTTACCAAAAGCTTAATCTAAGCAGATGAAAGCACTTTGAATGAACAAACTTTATTTCTTGGGTATTTTGTTGTAAGTAATGAACATTCTAAAAAGTCTGTTTTTACCATAAACAGATTCTCTTTCTTCCCTCCTTCTGTTTGTAATGGACCTTATTATTACATAATGATATAGTTTTATCCCTTTTCTAGGAGTTGGAAACAGAACAAGTTCTAATACATTTGAAGTACATAGAACAGGTATGTCCCCTTTATTTACAATTCTGGAGCAGTTTTTGGGAATATGTTGCTGAGAATGTCTTTCTGGTTAGGCTATTGGAAGTGTTGCATTTGATTTACTTGACAAACACAACCTCATTGTTTAAGATTGTAGTTCCTTGGGATTTATCTTCTGTCTCCACTGGCTATTTTTTACTTGGCCTGGTTTCTCTATTGTTAATTAAAATTTGGCTTATGGTTCCACAGGATAATTAAGTTGTCTAGGACTGGGTTTGTTTATCATGTTTTGTCATGAAATTTAAGATATAACAGCATGTTTCCACGACTGCTAAAGTTAGAGGCTTGTGCTATATGGATTACAGTTTTGCTTATTGATTCATGCTTTATAATTTATATTAACAATTCTCGTACCTTCTGTCAATGGCTGTGTAGCTGAGATCTCACTTTGGTGCTAAAAGGAGAAAGACTTGAGTATCACTATTACAAATTTAGGGTGCAGTGGTCGTTTTTCAAATCTGAGGTGAGTGTTCATAAACTACAAGTGATTGATATCTCAAAGTTTCAATTTATAAGAATTCCTTTTTGTCTTCGTGGAAGACCGGCTTAGATCTTTATGCAGGCAAAAGGTTTAGTAATTCCACAGGATGAACTTGTTTCATTGTAGTTATACAATATATACAACAGTTGCCAGATGGAGCTGCTGTTGTAATTGTTACCCAAAAATGTTCAATTTTTTAAGCTCTTGATCTATTTCGGGCGGGTAGTTTCCCCATGCCATGCTGATGCAGGGTGAATTTCCATGATTTTCAGCCACTTGGCTCCACACACATAAACATAATTTTTGTTTAAACTCAAAAATAATGAATGCTATATTACCAATTCTTATCGTCTTTCTGAGTGGCTTATTTCTTGTTGGAAGTTGGACAAGGCGAAATTGATCGAAAGAAATGCGAGAATGATATTTAATAGATATTCAGAATATGTAAAATGCGTTTCCCCTTGGATGTTTTTCCTTGTTTCATCTCCTGTGTCCCGGGAACGGTCTCCCACCAAATTTGCTTCTTCTCACCATGCTTTGGCTATTATGCCTGTTAGTGTTCCCGAATTTGAGAGGTACAACTTGCTCGATATATGATTTTCCAGGAAAGTTCCTTTTATCTTTGGGAAGGGCAAGAAGCTCTGGTAACCAATACGCCACATACTCGCCTTCAGGGTCATATGTTTGTGCCTGAAAGATCATTCATCTTAACAATATTTTCCTTTCCTTTCCTTTCCTATTATTTTTGCTTAAAATAACTGATGTAAGCAAACTAATCTAAATGCAAGTAGAAAATTTGTTAATAAATTTAGATATCAAAGTGCACTTACTTGCTTTGGGATGCTGAAATAGCGATCTTCTCTAGGGTCATTTCCAACTCCTTAAAAGAAGGAGCAGTAGTTAATGTTAGGATAAGACTTCAGGCTAGCTAGATTCTAAATATAGATGCTTAAGAAAGGAAATGCACATGTGAATTGACCTGCACCATACGTCCAGTTTCCGTAGTTGGAACATGGGTCATAATCTAAAAGGCATGTTTCGAACCATTCTGCTCCCATACGCCAGTCAATTCCCATGTCTCGAACAAGAAAGGAACATACAATCTGCAGATGAGTAGACTAGCCATTGGTCATGTTGCAAACATGTTTAACAGCATGCAGGATTCCCAGAAAAACAAAATGAAGATGTAGGTGTTATCTAAGGATTTGAACAAGCTAGTTTATGATGAGAATCCAGGGACATTTCCATTCTACTGATACTCTACAGGGAAAAAAAAACGAAAATTAGACAATGTGCATGACTTATTGTTTACCTGCCGGCCTCGATTTGACATGAATCCAGTGGCTGAGAGTTCCTTCATGTTTGCATCTATCAGAGGGTACCCGGTGCAGCCATTTCTCCAAGATTCAAACAATTTTTGTTCTTGACTCCATCCCCTTTCCACTTTTCTGGGGCCACCTACATTAGCTAAATTTGTCAAATGAAATGATAATGACCATTGATTCATAGGCATTTATTCAAAGAAGGTTGGCTTTCTACTCAAACAGTGACAAAATTTCACCACAAAATTTACTCCTAAAGACATTCAACTAATTTCGATCTTTACCTAAACAGAATATTGAATTCCCATATTTGATTGAAAGAAATCTGAAGTAATCCCTCCATATCAATTCAAACAACACCCTGCAACAAATTTCATATTGAGAAGAGTAAGGAAGGAAATGTTTTCCACTGAGAGCAAGAGCAATGAGAGGTACCAGTATGTGGAGTCATTTGCTAGCCTTTCCTTTTCATATCTCTTTACCTAATAGTATTAACCAAAATACCTGCCTGAGTTAAAATAATCATTTCCATCATACAACATGGTTATGTAAGAACAGCAAAGGAAAAGTTCAGAAAGTTTGCAAACCTCTTCACATATGAATCGAGGAGAGAGACTTCCTGAAGCAAGCCATGGAGAGAACTTCGTTGAGTAATCAGGCCCTAACATCGCATTCCTTGTCTCCTTGTATACTTTTAACAAGTCCTATAAATGCATGCAAGTGAGACTGATTAAGGAAGGCAGCAAGATCTGAGCAAGTTTTTCTTTTTACCTCACTGTTATCAACTGCCCATGTTATAGTACTACATTCTCCCTCTAATACATTTCATGCAAGTAAATTGGTAAATGAGCCAATGCATCTTGCCTTCTTCCAGAAGTACTCAGATACTCTGCTCAATGCAGCAGTTTCGCCTCCCAAAAATCTCATTCCTTTTGTAGCCTGTCATTTGAAGAAGAATAAAAATGGAAAAACTCACATAAACACCAGCATTCTCAGTGCTTGTTGTATGCATACTATATATGGCATGTTAGCTTGCCTTTTCTGAGTGAAGTCCAAGCTGCTCAATTGAAGGAACATGTCCCCAGTCATCGATACTAGGAGCTGGCCCAAGAGAGTTTGGAAGTCTGATGCACCCTCGTATGGCACATTTGGCTTCAACAGACTGCAAGTGTTAACTTCTGTTAACAAACATCTGACACACAGAACCTTCTTACAGTCATTCACACTAAACCATGATAAACCGAAAATGACAAAATGTAGAATTATGCCTTACGAAACTGAGTATATACGTCTGGCAAACTGCTGACACTGATTGGAAGGTCATCTAAGTGATACATGGTGCTGCCCCATATGAGTTCTAGCTTAGGATTGTGTGTTGAACTTGAACTCGTAGAATTCCCTTGAGCAGGTGATAACACCACCCGTCTCAGACCTCGCGTAACCAGCCTTTCAACTTGTAGCTCCTCACTGCAGGTTTCTTTATGTGCATATACCTGATTGGATTGGTTTTCAAAAATGCGCATTATGTAAATTCAATGACTCAGAAAGGAATTATAAACCATAGATTCATTTGTAGCTTGAAATGGTAGGCACTCAACTGTGTGAGCTCCAAAAGCTTTTGCAAGAGAAGGAAGAATATCCTCTGGCTTCCCATGTTGAATGAGAAGATCAAGGCCCTTCTTCATCAAATTCTTCTTCAAATCAGCCAAGCATTCAATGATAAATTGCGCTCTCAAAGCTAGCAAGAAACAAATGGAAAGAAAATAGAAATGAATAAAATAATAGTGTCATTAGTAATACTAATGGCGGTTTCAGAAATGATACCTCCAGTCTTGGGGAAACCAAAGCAATAGGTGGTCTCAAAGAGACGAGGATCGATGCAGTAAACAGGCAAAATGGCCTCAGAAGAAACCCAAGCCTTAAACAAAGCCTCGTTGTCTAACACTCTCAGATCATTCCTATACCAAACTATGGAAATCCCTTTCCCATTCCTCTTCACGGTCTTTGATGAGAACCTTTCGAAGGTCTTCTCCGCAATGCTGTCCATTTCATGGGAGTCTAGTCCCGGGACCTGGTAGACTGTAGAAGAAGAAACGGATTTGGGTTCGGATTTTGAAGTGGAATCCATGATTTGGAAGCCAAGACGGAACCTAATTTGACTTGAATAAGCAAATATCGAGGACGGGTAGGTCAGTTTTCTCTGTGAAAGTAAAGAGCAGGAAGGAAGAATGGCCATGTTGCATGTAGTTGGGGCTTTGTAGCTGGCAAACTATTAAGCAGTTCGGCAGTTGACATGTGGATATGAAGGACGTGGCGCTTTCGTAACCTGTAGACAGGTTATTAAATTTCTCAACGGATTTGTCTCAATCGCAGCCATACCTTTGTTTTTCAAAAAGTAACCCAGACATGCAGAACAGCAGATGACAAGCTCTGAGCCAGCTTTATTATGCCGCTTGGCCCACTTCCGGCTCCAACTCCCTTACAGTTTGGGGTCCAATTCATGATCCACAAACGCTAGTGTGCCCCTTCTATGAAAAAAAAGAAAACATGCTTGTGGATTTAGCAAGGAAGCTTCCTTGACAAGGGTGCAGTCAAGGTTTGATTTCCCATTTTGGAAAAGAAAGATGCATAGTTGCACTAGCATAATCTCTTCTTGAATCATAGGAACACATCTCGCCTTACACTGGTCTAATCTATGATACAGAATACAGATATCATTAGACAATTTATGCTTCTCGACCACACTGAACCAGCATTTTGGGCTATTCGGGTTTCATGTCTTTCGTTTCATCGTATGTATGATGTTGGATCTTGACATCAGAATAGCTACTCATTTGACTAATCAAACCTCCCCAGGATAAGCCTATCCAGATAGAAACTGCTGCTGGACAAAACTGTCGGGCTAGGAATGCCAAAGCTCAGAGCTTTCAATCATTGATCAAGACAATGCAATTTTTCTTGGTAAGATTCACTCCATTCAACCAACAATTTTTCTTTCTTGTTTGTTCATAGTTTACTCAACAATTAGATTGCCTTGAACATGAAGGAAAAGTTTTTCACACCTACAATTTTGTATGGTTCAGTGATGCAAGATATCTCTAAGCCGTAAGTAGATGATACAATAAAGGCATCAGTTACATGGTGAGGGCTTCAACAAGCTCCAAACTTTGTCTATGCCTCTCCAAAATTGGTATGTCAGTCTGCAGCATACAAAGATAAGTCCAATCTAGTCCATTTGCTGCAAGTGCCAACACAGGAACAGGAATGCAGGTTTTCACAAAAACTTCAATCTGCACACGCAGAAGTGAAATGATAGAAAAGGAAAGTACCATTATATAACCAGGAAAGCAAATAGATAGACAAAAGAAGTGCAGCACAGGTACATACGTCTATTACTAGCTAAGGGTTCAATTAAGGTAATAGGGTCACATATAACATGGTAAGAACGATGCTGCGCTGACGGAAGAGAAGACTGTAGATTAGCTAGCTATTAAGCAATCTTAACCCATTACCTGTGACGAATGGAGTTAATCTTTCTGAAGGCCTGATAATTAATGATAACCTGAACATAAGATTTCAATTTTATATCTTGGAACAAAAAAAGGGGGAAAATGAAAGGAGATTTTGTGCCTAATCACATGCATGGTGCATTCCTAGTGGCTTGTTTTTTAATGTATCTGGGCAAAGCAACCACCAATCACCAACCTAGCCTTATTCTACGACCAGGAATGATGTAAAAGATCAGACAAGAGAGGGGAAGAGCTGGAAAGAGCATTTGAGTTACCATATCCGTAGCAAAAGCAAATAGTGTAAAGGAGGAGAAGCATCAGATAAGGATTTCAGAATTACCTCAGTGCCATGATTCACAACATGAAGATGGCTAATGATGATACTTTTGTCCTTTCAGAATAGTCCATGACCTGAAATCAAATTATATATCAACTCTCATAGGGTAAAGGGCAGAGAGTTATAAAGCATAGGTTGCTGCTCAGCACTAAGCAATATCCAGAGAACAGAGCAAGTTTAAGATGTCTCATGAATGATGTCCCAAAAGGAAAAGCAAAAGAGGAAAACGAGATATAATTGCACTTGTGACCCAGACCTAAAGAGTTCAATAAAGTTTAACAAATTTGACCAGACAATATAACCATCCACCATTAAGAGTAAGCAACCACTCCTAACAATCCAAGGGTTGTTTTATCTCAATAATATCTCCAATAACTTCCCATCTATATCCAGCTCAAGCAACAATGAGAGATGAGTCCCTCTGCACTATTGATTGACACAAACACAAAGGCAACTGAAACTTTCTGATATGCTGCGTAGGACAGCAATAGCGGAATCACTATACCAATCAATAGTCCTGATTCCACCTAAGTGGATCAAAATTCAAACCCCTGTTCTATAAGAATTAGCTGGGAAATTTTAGGTTGGAAAACTGTCCTTGAGGATGATTAAACAGCTACAAAAATGTCACCAAGAGCTTTTACTTCAAGATAGTTAAAATTATTGCTCACTTATGGTGACAGTAACCACCTTTTTCTTTCCTTTTTTTTCTTTTATTGATGAATTATCCATTATCATCCAAAATTAGATTGAAAAGGCTGCAAGCAGCCAATGAACAAACATGACTAAAAATCACCTTGATGTCAAATTAGCATTGTTTGTTATAAGTTATAACCAACAAATATGATTTCTGTAATGAATGTTTTTCAATGTTCCTCAAGATTGGATGTATGAGATGATACTGAAGATGGAACTGTTAACGTCTTCTCACCTATAAAGTTGTTCCAGGAGCACAACTAGTGCAATTTGATGATTCAATACCATCGAAGACAACTTGATTGATATGTTTGCACGTTCTCGAATTTGTTGTCCATGACCATAAGGTCCACCAATGCAAAACGATAACCTTAAAGCTCCCTATAACATGGAAAATTGCAAAAACACTTATACTATGCATGAGTCAGTCTTTTAAATATCAAATTCAACCAATACAGAGCTACAAAGTATGCATCATAATATCCTATATCACCGCATTGTGATCAAGGATCAAAAAGTGAATATGTTCCCAGAATTGTTCTGGCTACTAAAACATTTGCAATTTCAAGCATCTGATAAATGGAAGGTGGTATCTAGCTAGAAACTAGCTTGATGGTGATGGCTAATATCTACCTGAAGGAGCAATGCAAAATATGTATGAAAACGCTTAAAATTCCAGCTGCATACGCACCTAACTAACCAGAAGCTATTTGATGCCAATTTAGTTCTGAGTATTTTCCACATCAAGTTGGTTTCATATAGTCAAATAAGACTTAAGCAACAGGATACATGTATTTTCAATCATTCCCAATAATCATTGTAATGGTTTTTATGCCATACCGTATTCCCAGCATCTCCTAACAATTCGGCCATCTGTTCAGACCCAATATCTAGTCCATGCTCATCCAACATCACCACCTACAAGTAGAGAGGTAAGTAGTTGCAAACCAAGGCTGGATGCTCCAACAAAACTAAATTTGTGAACATTACAAAGGTTAAAGGTGCCTAATCAAGAGGTGGAAGAAAAGAAGGCAAATAGAAATAAGAATAATGGAAGGAAGTCAAGTTGAATGGTGTTTGAGGCCCTACCCAATCATCGGACCTGATAAGGTTGACAACAGCCGTGTCTTCATCATCAACCTGAGCCCTCGCATTGCTACAAGAAGTCAAGAACAAATTCACCCATAAAATTGCAATTCTTAGATGGCATAAAAAATGAGCACATAAAGACATAAAGGAAAGAGCACCGCGCATTTTTAGGATTGGAGCGAATTTGAACATCTTCAACATGACAATAACATTTGAGCTTTGCGATATATTCATCCACCAGGAATTGCACACCAGGAGACCTCTTTTTTCCTACCGTTAGGATTCGAATAGGCAGTGCTCTCTGCCAGTCCCACCAATCGAAGCCTCATAGTTGTTACTAGCTGTTATTCATAATCTTGAAACAAGAATTTGAGATGAAACAGAGGGGGCCGAGCAGAAAGTTTACCACGGATTGACCAGTGTATTTGCAGCCTTTACCTGATAATTTGGATTCGAGAATTGAGATTAATACAAAGTTGCAGACGAATATTTAATAGTTTGATTCTGATTAGGATACAAAAACCTGAAGAATGAGAGCTGGAATTCTTCCACTGAAGACAAGCACCACCCGCTGAAATCGCCATTGCCATCACTAACTTTTAGTTTTAAAATTGTACTATTAGCAACGGCGTCAAGAGTAAAGACCGTAGCTTTTCTTTTTCTGCGTACATAAAGACTGTAACTTTTCTTTATCAGCAATGGGTTCTAATGGTGATGACCACTCACCTGAACCCCTACGTTGTGCTAAATGTACTAGGGGTTAAACGACAGCGTTTCTCAACGCTGAGTCAGGGTGGTTCTCTTTTTATTTATTTATTCATTTTTCACTATAAAATGCCGGCGTTATGGATTCTGGAAATGGCTCGTTCGTTTTTATAACCTGCTGGAGTGTTGGGTGCTGCGGAGGAAGAAAACAACCTCTTCAGCGCTGAGAATCAGGAAACGACGCGAAGATTGTCCTTAATACAGGCACGAGGTATTGCCAAGTGAGCAACCCAAATACCAATCCTTGCATATTTGCATTCTCAACTAAAAATTCTTTCGTATCGTTGTTTATATACGAAGTATATTAGTTGTTGCATTTGTGCTATCTTTAGACGTCGGCGTACGAGAACTTTGTCGGGGGAAGACTGAGGCTGAAGGGGAAACCCGTCCACGTTAAAGCAGATGGCATTTCCAAAAGCAAGAAGAAGAGACACAAACACCGTATTGCCTTCCATTCCCAAGGTTGGTTCCACCTCATGTGTTTTGCTTTATCTCCTCCTTCTGTGTCTGTTTCAGACATTTATCTCTGTACTTTCTTGATATAAATCTTAAGAGTTGGGTGATTAGTTGTGGGTGTTAAAAATGTATGATTAAACAGAATAATCTCAGTAAGCTTTAAGCTTTCTAGAGCAAGGTGTGGTTTTCTTACTGTCCAAGCTGATCAAGGTAGAAATCAGGAATAAGCTTTCTTAGGACTTATTTCCGTTTTTTATTGAGCCTTCTTCCTGCTTCATGTGCAAATCATGTCCTTCAAAGTCATGACTTCGGAAGATTGGAATCTGTGCTGCTAACTCTTTGCAAACTTGAGATCTTGGTCTTTTGGTAGAACGGAGATAAATAAGCTTGCAATGGCCTCTAAAGGACATACTCTTTTTTGATAATGACTTTATGAAATTCTGATCATGATTTTGCTTCTGGATTTGCTTATCGAGTACATTTCTCCTTCATTTTTGCTTATCTGATGCCTTCATTTACACCGTGTTCATCAAATTTGGAGGTTATCCATGAGACTGAACAAGATGGCAGCGAAGCTCATGCTTTTGAGGATCATCTTACGCCAGTTGAAAGAAAATTCCTGGAGCAGACGCACAAACTTGAGCTTCAAAAACTGGCAAAGATGGCGAGCAAATCACGCCATGATCGCATTCAGGAATTTAACCAGTATTTGGCTAATCTAACTGAGCATTATGACATTCCCAAAGTCGGCGCCGGTTAAATTTTCATCATCTGTGTTGTTTTCAGCTGATTAATTTAACTGACCTGGATTTCAGAGTTCAAAAGGTGCAGTATTGTTTGTTCTGAATAACATGCAAGTTATATTTGAGTTATTCTGGTCAGTAAATCAACTGTCTGAAAACCTTTGTATTCTAGAACTTTTCCAGTTTGTTGGACTTCCTCTGTGTTTGAGAAATACTGCCTCCTTTACCACCTAGATTTTGCATGATTTCGTCCATTTTAGGTGTTTGCTAGTGTGATGATTGTATTTGTATCGCCATACGAATCATTTTCCATTAACTAATAATGGATGGTTCCTTATTTATCTACCTCTGCTGTGAAGATCAATTGATCAAGGCTGATGTATGATAAAATCTTGAGATTTGCCCATTCCATTTTCACTATACACAAAAGATTCAAGCATGATCCAGCATACCATAGGAGTAAATTAAATTTTGATATTTAATCCATCAAAATGATGTTCTTAATACTCAAGCATGCCCATACATGCAACTTCACATTAACCATAGAGAAAAATGTAGAAACCGTGCGCGTGTATCTGCAAGATCAAATCCTTCATACTCGAGATACATGGATACACATTGGCACAATCACACATGGATTCCAAATCCACGACCAGGAAAAATAGGGCACTTCGACCCCACAAGTTAGATTGTCTGGTTATGTCCATTTAAGGTTTCTCATGCGCCAGTTTCAACAACATCAGCAATTTCCGGTAGCACATAAGGATCTTAAGTATTCTGTCTATGAATCTGCAAGAATCAATCTTGCACACCTATCCACGCCTTTGAAATACAAATAAAGAACCTCTGGAGCCCTTTCCCAGTCTGACCTTCTCATCTATGTATGTGATCTGCAGCTTGACTTCACTCTCACCGCCATATCGGAAGTCCAATGCTCCTACCTTCAGTTCAGGAGGCTCAAAAATGACTTGAATCCATTGACCATCCAGTACCTTCAGCTTTCCTGTACAGAGCATGAATGAATACTTATCAGTTGACATCCACAATTTCACACCACATAAATTGAGTCCCTAATTCAGTTTGCTCTATTAGTCAGAAAACTATGAGGCGGCCGCCATGGCAATGCCAAGTTTTGTCAGTGGGTGTCTCTTTAAAATTAGTTTTCCGCATGCTAGCATATAGAAATTCATGCCAATTAAAACACAAGAAAGATAATGAGAACTGCTGCATATCTTATTCAGGGGCAAGAAATCAGTGTCCAATGTCCTCAAAATTGCCATACCCTGGCTTGGAAAATGCAAATACCTTTCAACGAAACCTCTCCATCTAGAAACCCAAAAACCGAAAAGGAGACTTTGTTTCGGACGGTGTCGGGAGCTTCAACAGCCTGAATCATTTCCTTGGTCCTGAAGAAGAGGCGGCCAAATGCACTTCTGTAGCCGCCCCCTGGTGATGTAGGCCTCGAACAGTAAACCACATCCCACTCTGGAAACACAAACCCCCCCGCTACATTTGGTCAGAGCATCCAAAACTTTAAAAAAAAATGATTTGTCACATAAATTTAGGCTGTTGAACAGCACAATTCTCTTTTGATTTTACCTCCGAAGATTAAAGGGCATTTTACTGGTTCATCTACGCAATATTTCTGCAACTCGTCAGCTACTTCAGCTACCTCTTCGTGGTCTTTTTTGGCCAGTGAAACCCCACCGTCCGTTTGCGCCACCTAATTCATAATTCAGTTTTCATCATCTGATCCCAGACCCAACCGACTAAAACGTAGAGGAATGACTAAAATACTAAAATATATAAATAATCCTGGAACTAAAATGTAGAATGAAGAAAATGAAGCAGATACTTTTCCAAACGAGTCAAACCTTGGAGAGAATAGAAACAACTAGATCATCCGGGCCGGTTCGCAGTCCCGGATTGGAGATTGAAACCGAACTTGAAACAATCCTCAAAGTCTGGTTATGCTGGTATTTGAGCGGAAACGAAGATTGTAACGACAGATTAAAGCGTTTCGATCCATAAAAGGAGGGTGTAGGTTGGGTGAAGGAGGATGACACAGGGAAGGAGTAGGCCGCCATGGCGGGTATTAGTTATTATTATGGCAGACGATATGATGTTCACCTTGAAAGACAGATGTCCCTGCCTGTCCTCTCCTTGGCTTGAGAGAATTGAGATGATGATGATGATGATGATGCCATGTCGCTGTGTCGGAATGGCGATCAGACAAGGACCCACCACCGCGTTAAGAACTGGATTACGTGCTGCCACCTAAGCAGATTTTTCACTTGCGCATTATCCTTTGTGAATGTGGGCTGCGCAACTTGAGGCTGTGGCCATGATTACAAGTAAGTGGACAAGCGGTAGTTGAGTACCGTATTGGAAGGCCGACCCAACTAAAATTTTTAATCAAAAAGTTTTACTTCAATTGTATATAATTGTAATGTTGTGGATTATCTACGAGCAATCCTTTAAATCGATAATATCGATTAAAAAATTTTATCAACTGATTTTATTGATTCTTTTATAAAATTAACTGAATTGATTGACTTTAATCCTTAATCGATACTAATATTTTATTTTTTTATCTGTTTAACCAAATATGTAAATTACATAATTTGATCTAACTTTTCTTACTTATAATTAGAATTTTTTTATTTGACATACATGAAAGCATTCTAAGAGGAATAGAGACGGATTTTGAACATTAAATCTTGATTTTTTTTAAGATAATAATCATTAAATCGAACATATGTATTATTTATTTATGGTTAGACTTTTTATATGAGATTGAGCTCTCCATAATTGTATTTCTTATTTTATTGTTATCAATATTTCTCACTACACCAATCAACAACCGTCACAATCTGTGCATAAAGGATGCCACCATTGAGTGTAAACATCACATTCTATAATTTATAATGAGTGATAACTGTATTAAATAGAACTCATAATAATAATAATAATAATAAAAGATAATAGAAGATAAGTAAACTTATTTATTAGAAATTTGTACACCTCATTTATAGAACGTTAATTCTAAAGTTACAACTTGGTTAAATGTATCCGTTTTCCATTTTAATTCGAATTCCCTATTCCTCGAAAATCAAAGAAATCTAAAACTCATAGATTCCAAAAAATATTTAAAAGTCATGACTTATTGTAAGAAAAGTCAAAAGAATTAGGCAAAGATATCTAAGAATTGAATATAACTAAATATACTGAATTTAGAAAATTGTTTTTACATATAAATGGTGTAATCCAAAAAACACTTTTTTAATAAATCACAAACACGTGACATTTGTTTATTTTTTTTAATATGTATTAATTGAAAAATTACCCAATGATTAAAATATATATATTTGTAATAATTGTAGATACATGAATAGGTATAAATATTCAATTGTACAAAATAAAAACTATAGTATAGCCATGGTATTTAGGTATGGTCCCAAAATTGAGTTTAAAAGATTACAAAGTATTTATTAAGACATGACTCATTGTAAGAAAAGTCAAGAGAACATGTCAAGACGTAACTAATATATAAATAGTCCAATATAAAACATTTTTCCATAAATCACAATCGTGTGACATTTATGTGATATTTTTAACTACTAATTGAATTTTTTCCCAGAATAATTATTCGATCATACAAAATACAGACTATCGTATTTAGGTGTTAATTCCAAAAAAAAGTTGGTTTATGGGTTTATTTATGTCTCATTTTTATTTGGATTATATAGATAATACGTGGTCGAGAAAGCAAGGAGAAGTCAGGTGAAGGGTAAAATTGGAAAAAGGGTGATCCAATCCAACTCATCCGAGGGAGATGGGAAATCGAATTCCAAGTTTGAATGATTCTTAAAAGGACAAAAAAATGGAACCTCACTAGAATTTCGGGTAGTGAAGGGCAAAAAAGGTATTAAAGGAATAGGAAAAAGCGTGACAAAAAGGGAAGTCAGGGAAACAACAAGCATAACAAAATTAAATTAACCGTGTAAGCTACAGAGATACCCGTACGGGCCAGCATGGTTGGAGCTCGAAAAGATTCCAATGAGATTTAATTACTACTTAAAGCATAAACTTACAATTACTTTGAAAAATATTTGCTAGGAATAGTAAGATAAATTACTGGGAGAACTCTACATCGCCGGCTCAACCCCAAGTCAAGATGAGAGAACCCGAAGGCCGATCTCAATATTAGCACTACTACTAGATCTCTCCACTTGCTTCTGATCTCTTTGCATCTCCGATCGATCAGCCACATTTCTTTCCAGGTACTTTTACCTTTCGTCGTGGTTACGCCTTCTTCCTTCTCTAGATTGCCGTGGATTACGATTGACAGCAACATGAATCGGTTGCGTCCGCTTTCTTTTCTTTTTCTATTCACATTTTTAATCGAGTTTGACTGTTCCCGTAGAAATCACATCGCGGTAATGCTATGTCAATTCTAATGTCATTCAAATCAAAGTTTTATTCATTTCGACTATGATTTCTCTTCTTTTTTTTTTTTTTTTATCTTCTCTTTTCCATATTTGTTCAACTGGTATTTGAATCGGAGGTGGAGGCTGACTTTTCTGTTTGGTCCAGTGGTTTTCATCAGAATTAATATTGGCCTGTTAGGTAGAGTTGATTTGCTGGAATCTGATAAACACTGTTTGTAGGAGCCAATACATCAATAATCATAATTTTTACTGCTCAACAATCATGCATATGCCTTCACTATCAAAATGTAAAGGCTGAAATCTTCCGTATTTGTCTGTATCTGGCTGTTCAGAGAATCCTTGTTCTGCATAGTATGTGATTATGGATTATAACTAGATTTCATCGGCTCCAATTCTACATAATACGAACACATTTTAGAGTTGGTTTTGGATATTTCTATCACTCAACGCTTTAACATATGCCTAAAATAAAGGTTAGGATCACTTGCTTCTTAACTTCAAATTCCTACTTTCTTTTTTTGTCAAAATAGTTTGGTTTCATAGTTAGTGTTGAAGATTTAAAGCTTGTTATCATGAATTTTAAGAATGATTCTCCGCCTCCTCCTCTCATATTGTGGTTCAATTATATTGGCCATTTATGCCTTTTATGACTATATTTTCTACTTTTTTTCCCTTGTTTGTGGCAAAGCATGAGGTCAGATCCCCTTAATCTGCATTTTAAACATGGTGTGGGTGATTGAAAATAGCAACAGTGGCTGTGGTCTTGCTTTACATACTATATTTTTGCTATCCTAAAAAGTGCATTAAAAGGTTTATTAAGCATGCTTGTATCCATCAGTTTGATGCTGTATTTGTTTCCCATCTTGCCCATTTCAGATTGCGGTCTGATTCCAATAAACTGATCAGCATACAGTAGTGGTCTTTGCACTCAATGGTGAAGCAGTAAGATGGTGAGATAAGGAAACTGAGTGATGCTTTGAGATACTGATATGTTGCCTTCAATCTAGATGAAGACAACTCGTGCATGGCAGCTGGGTGTAAAAGATATTCTAGTCATGTCTAGTTCAAGACAGCGCCCGCATCTAAAGAGGCCAGTGTGGATTATTGTATTGGTAACTTTTGTGAGCATATTTTTGATTACTGCCTATGTCTACCCTCCAACAAGTTCAGCAGCCTGCTATATATTTTCTTCAAGGGGTTGTACTTTGTACAACCAGCCACCGACATTTCCTTCTAGGGAATTAAGTGATGATGAGACCATATCACAGGTTGTAATTAAGGAAATCCTCAAGACACCACCTGTACTATCGAAGAATTCGAAAATTGCTTTCCTGTTTTTGACTCCAGGGACATTACCTTTTGAGGCACTGTGGGATAAGTTCTTTCGCGTAAGGCTTTGTTCCTTGGTCATCAATATTTTTGTCTTGACTTTGCATCATTTATGAATCTTCTCATTTGCAAGTGTTTCCAATCTAAGAATTCTTCTGTTTCTTTCTATGTGGCTGCCTAGGTGGTCAGAGATTGACTTGAATGTTATATGGACTTTGGCGTTGGTTTTCAAGTCATTGCTTGTTTAACTTTCAGATTAAGTTCCCAACAGAGGCAAACATTTTAATGTCCTTATCTATTTAATCAAAAGGAAAAAAAAAAGGCTAAAAAACTTACCTTTAATGAGAGATAGGCATAAAATTGGGGATCAGATCTGACTAGTGCAAAAGAAAGCAATAGATGCTGATTCTAATGAACAGTGGTTTTCAAGTCTTCGTTTCTAGGGTTTCCCAACTTCTCTAACTGAAAGCTAGCCTGAGATTTCTTACCCTCTTTTTTAAAATTTTCTTGAGGCAAACAAATTTCATCAAATGTGAAGATATCAATCACTGCCTTTGCTGGGGGCTGATTCACACTTCACAAACTTGTTTTAAATTGATTAGCTGAGAAACAGTTGGAAAATACAAATGATTACTTGATGGAAAACTTTGATCTCCTTGGCCTTTTTTTTTTCTAATGATTTCTGGCCGTGTTATCAAGTGCAACTTCTTATCCTTCTCAAAGTTGGTATAGCTCCTTTCTTCTCTGGCAATTTTAAATTTTATTCCAAATCACATTATTTAATTTTTTCTTGCAGGGCCATGAGCACAGATTCTCTGTTTTTGTACATGCTTCCAAAGAAAAGCCAGTACACACAAGTCGCTATTTTATTGGTCAAGACATTCACAGTGAAAAGGTAGGTTGAATTAGTCATTTTATGCATTTTGTTAGGTATAAGATTATAACATCAAGCTACCGGAACTGTTTGCATCAAAAAGGTTGAGAGAATCATGATTGAATTTTACTCTGAGAGGGTGTTATTGGGCTTAATCTGTTGAGAAAGGAAGAGGATTGTTAAATTAGTTTCTTAGTTAAATTTTTCTTTTGTGTTCATACACTTTGGCTGAAATATATATGGGGAACTTGTATATCTTTCCAAATGCTTGAGTTTATCTTCTGCCTACTTAAGGCTTGAAAAGGTTCTCAACCAAAGCAAAGAAGGGAAACGAAAAAAAAAAAAAAAACTTTTAAAAGATGGGTGTGCACAGGCAATTTTGGTTTTGATGATGACCACTTCTGTTCCCCAACTTTTGATGAATTCTGTCTTCAGTATTCCTTTTTCCTCCATTGACTTCACATGTCTGCTTGAACGTCATTATATAGTGCCTCCTAAGAAGAAGCTATCTAATGCAGGTGGTTTGGGGAAAAATTTCCATGGTTGACGCTGAGAGGAGACTGTTAGCACATGCACTTTTAGACCCTGATAACCAGCATTTGGTGTTGCTGTCGGATAGGTAATTGAGGCATCAGATTTCATGTCTTAATATTCTCATGATAGGCATTTATCTAAAGTTTCCCCCCCTTTTTTAACCTTGTTCTACAGTTGCATACCACTACACAACTTTGACTATGTGTACAACTACCTGATGCTAACCAATGTTAGCTTTATTGACTGGTAAGCAACATCGAAACCGTTTTCTTATCCTGTCATGTAACTTAGTATGAAAACCTCGCGAAAAAAAAAATGGAAGCCTTTTTCATTTGTTGCTTAAAATATTAAGAGTGTATAAAAATTACTTTCCCCACAATTCATTTCTCTCTCTCTCTCTCATCAGTTTTGTGGATCTTGGCCCACATGGAACTGGGAGGTATTCAGAGCATATGATGCCCGAAGTTGAAAAGAGCTCTTTCCGGAAAGGTTCACAGGTAGATCCTTTTACTGTCATGACGTGGCTTTGTGCTTATTAACCAATTCCAGAAAAAAGAAATTGATATTTCAAGTGTAAAATGGAATGTGGTTCATATCGCAACTTTTTCAAGAATGTTTTCGAACTCTTAGAAGTCTGGCTATTAGCAAAGTCTTTCCAGTTGGCATCTGTTAGAATAGCCCTGTTGATTGATATTGCTATTCCTGCCTTGATCAATAATGTAATTTAGAAATATTTTCTTGTTTAAAGTTGGACCACCTCCCTTTCTTTCTCAACTGAGTAAGCTTGAAGACTGTGAATTGATTGAAGTGCACTTGAGCTTGCACCTCTTTTATGTAGTCACTATAGCTTTTATAAGCTATCCTATGGTGGATGGGATGTCGGAAAAAGATTACTGTGGTTCTTTGACATTTTTTATAAACTGTGAAAGAAAAAATGCTTTAGCATATTTTAAGTATTATCAGTTTTACTGTTATTCTTGTTTGCCTCTATAATAACTGAAGAGTTTGACAACAGAATATGATATTTCTATTTGGGAATTTAAGCAAGTTTTCTCAGATCTACTTTACAGATCATATTATAGATAAATCTAATCATGAGATTAGTTAGAACAGTGGTTGGAACTAAACTTCACTTTATATTGTGTGCATGATCACTGAAAGTTTAGTTGACTTTAGGGTTGATAGTTAATACTGTTTCAGTATAGAAAACCAAGCAAAAATCAAGGAATCCTGAATTCCCCACTAGGGCTTCCTTATATATCATATAGGAATAAAGTGTAAAATGTTGTGGATATTGTACTTGTGATTGTTATTTCTTTTTCAGTGAGGATGTCGTCCTCTGCTCCTCCATTTGTCTCTCAGTAACGTTGGCATTCCAGGTTCATAACAATAGATAATTGTGGACAATTACTTTTTGGGTTTATTTTGCTTTGTGCATAAATGAGCTATCAGGTCATTCTTTGATTATAGATTTTACTGCATGCTGCGTTAATTCAACTTTGAAATCTCTGATTTAAGCCGGCCAAGCAGTCTCAGAGATCTCCCAGTAGAATAGGGGTAATCAATTTACTGAATTAGTGCAGTTCTAATGTCCCATCAACTCCCCCACCCCTTTCCCTTTTCTTTTTTTTTAAAAAAATTTCATAGTGATTTACTGCATTTTTTTGGTTTATTATCCTGAGCAATTAATGGCTCATAGTGTAAGATTTGTTGAGTTGTTCAGTGTTTTTTTACAGTGGATTGGCAGGACACAGTAAGGTTTTTGGTGCTAAATATGGTTCCCCCTTTTTATAACAGAGTTTTATGTTTATGGTTCATACATTTAGTTGGTTTTGATTGATATTTTATTTCAGTGGTTTTCCTTGAAGCGACAGCATGCTATAATAATTATGGCAGACAGCCTATATTACACAAAATTTAGGCTTTTCTGCAAGGTAATCTGCTCATCACAGTGAGCTTGTTTTTATAACCTGCAGTTTATGTGTACAAATAATTCTTAGAATTTTGCTTTTCTATCAGTTTCTGTTGCAAACTCACCATAATAAGTTCATTTGTCCAACTTTCAATACTAACCACAATTCCATTATATGATGGAGTTTTTGAAAAAAAATGTGCATGTTGTTTCATTAACATACATTTTATGTTTTTGTGCCAGCCAAACATGGACGGGCGCAATTGCTATGCAGACGAGCATTACTTGCCAACCTTTTTCAATGTTGGTACATTGGACTTGTTTCTTCTGCTTGCATCAAAACTGCCTTTAGTTCGTGTTTATTGCATATAACCAACCTCCTTATTGCCCCACCCCCCCTCCTGAACAGAAAAAAAAAATATCAACCTCCTTACCCCAATTAATTTTTGTATTACAGATGATAGATCCTGGTGGAATCGCAAATAGGTCAGTAACATATGTTGATTGGTCTGAAGCAAAGTGGCATCCCAGATCATTTAGGGCTCAAGACATTACATATGAGTTCCTCAGGAACCTTACGGTACATTGTTCAACCGCAAATGTCTTTGTTTCGGTGTTTGTTTATGATTGTGGCATGGTATAGACTTAGGAGCTTGTCTGCCTTTGCAGTCCATTGACGAGAGCGTACATTTCACAAGTGATCCAAAGGTGAAAGGTTCATTTTTCTTCCTGGCATTATGTTTTCTGGAAGAAGTAAACATACTAACAAGTAACAACTATTCTCTGTGTTTCTTGGTTGTGGGTGCAGAGGAGAGTGATTACGGGGCCTTGCTTGTGGAACACAGTGAAGCGACCGTGTTATTTATTTGCACGAAAGTTTTATCCAGAAACCTTGCACAGATTGATGATCCATTTCTCTAATTACACAACAGTGTAGGGCTTTCCTAATGATAAATGTTATTATTCTTTTGGTGGGATCAATGTCATTTTATCCCCTGCCTCGCTTCCCATTGTTTATTAAACAAAATCTCCGATACTTTTCAATGATAAATTTTGATATTATTATTATGAAATATTCTTACTGGAATGGAGCCGAACCCAGCCCGCAGTGCTTTAAATCAGCCATACTGCACGCGAATGGTGCCGGGTTGGCCTTCTTTTTTCTCTGCTCTCATCTATATATTTCCTCTTTTTTACTCGTAAAACATAGTTTGTTATGTTTCCCTTTTATTAAAAGGTGACTAGATTTTCTTTTTTTATGTAAGGATTATTTTTATATATTATTATTCAATTGTAATTTTACATATCATAAAAAAGGGGTGCATGCTTAATTTAAATACGTAATAATTACTACGTAGTTAAATGGAAGCCGAAATACTGGCAGTAATGCTAAATATAAGCAAATAATGGTGGATCCTTATATTAATTGCAAAACCACAGAGACGCAGAAAAGGCTTTTTGTCTTTTTATTCTGGGTGACTGTAATTATGAGAAGCCACTGTGTAGCACGTGGCACATTCCCTGTCCTTCATTTACATCCAGACGCCTCATCTTCTGTCCGTACATAATATCAAGCATCGAGGGCCAGGATCATTTAATCAAGAAATGAGTGAGCTGATGCCGTCCGTTTAAATTCCAGACCATATTGGAGCGCGGGAATACCCAAAAAATCAGCTGCTGCTTAGGAGACCGTCGCAACGCAACCCAAGCCACAACGACGTACGATCGACTAACAGGAGAGAGAAAGGAGGAGAGAAATGGCTCCCAGGAAGCGAAAGGCGACGGTCGGCAACGAGGGGGAAGCCAACCCTCTAGGTCAAGAGACGTCGAAGAGGGTGACCCGGAGCATGACAAAGCCGCCGGGTGACGAGTCTTCCGAGTTGGCTCAGCGCAACAAGGAGAAACCCAAGGCAAAAGCGAACGCAAGTGCCAAGGAGAAGAAAGTCAAGGTGGCTGTAGCTGTGGAGGAGGCTGCGCCTGAGGACTTGACCGTCTCTGAAGATGGGTCCCACAATAAGACTGTAGTAGTCGAACACTGGTCAGTTTCTTATCGTTTTGCTTTCTAAGTATTTCTCCACAAGCTAGTATTACTAATTTTGTATTTTATTTTATTTTTTATACAAATCTGATCGGTGAAGATTCTTTTGCGAAGAAGAGAGAGGAATTTAATTTTCAACGGGTTTACAAGGAGAGTTGAATTACTTGTATTGCAAACATTTCTTGTTCCATCGGTCGTCTTGGGTTAATTTAGGGTTTGGCAACGACTATCGAAAGATTCTAATCTTTAAATCCTTATGTTCTTCTTGTTCATAAATTGGTGCTAACGCAAGCAAACCACAGATTGTTGGGTGTAGACTGTAGACTTTCGGGAACAATGAGAATATATGTACGTTAGCATTGAAGGGGACTGGAGACTCTAGTGTTATGGTAGTTAGTTTCGGTTCAATATGTCCCCTGCAACTAATAACTTTGGCCCATGTCACTTGGCTTCGTCCCCTTTGGTTTTTAAAAATCTCTAAATTTTTGCTCAAAAATGGACGTAACAACTAACAAGAAGGAAATAAAATGTACTAGTAAGTGATAGAGTGAAAGGAGCAACCTTTCTTCCCGTTTTGTCTCAGCAGGTATTTAGGCCTTGTTGGTCCTCTTTTGATGGATTCGATTGAATGAATTTTGGGTCCTCAAACTTGAAACGCCCTTTTCCTTTTTCTGTTGAATGACATCTTTTGTTTATGATTGTTTTTTTCTCTAGCAAGCAATGCAACTCGTTCAAGACAAGGGCTGTTCAAGTCAAAGATGGTTTGGAGAAAGGTGTCCCTGGCATCAAAGTGTTGCTCAACCCTGAAAAGGTTAACACTAATTTCACATCGAATACTCTCTCCAGTTTGCTTGCGCTTCAAATCTTTGTTAAACAACACCTCAGGCATCTTGTTTCCAGTGGACACCGATAAAGGGATAAACTACTTTCTTTCTCTTCTTTTAGCGGAGATGCCTTGTCCTTTTTCAACCAAAAATGGATGGTTCCTTATTTCTTTGTCATATTGTAATTATCTATTGTTTAATGACATTCATATTGTACCGTGTCAACTCTCTTTAAGCATACAGTAGAGGGTTCTGTTATCATTCTCTGAAAGTGCAGTTCATTATTAGCTCTGTTCTTAATTTTTATACCAACTGTCAAAGAAACCTGCTGTCGATGTTGAATTTATGGATGCTTTGACTATCTGACGACGGTTTTTATAAAGTAAGATGAACTAAGTTTTTAATTACTCGATCAAATTTAAAGATCTATTTTATTTGCTCAAGATAAAGATCCTTGTGTTATAATTGTGTGATGAAAATGAAATTGTATTTATACACAATGCACGAAGTTGGACTGGAGCATTTATGGCTTAAATAACCATATCTTGAGGTCTTATTTTTAATGCCTAGTTGAATTTAACTCCAAACATTTCAATGTTAATACGTGCGATATTGCTTTCAATACTCAATCGATTTTACCAGGGCCAAGCATCTATGATGGGTCAATTTGTTAATCAAAGAGGTACTTCTAGTTAGAAAGAGGTGTCTTGATTGTGATGTTCATATAGTTTCATGATTGTTTACACTTTAGGCTATCTTTGCTTTCAGTGTTCTTGTGTTTTCTGTTCTGGCTATAAAGATCTTTTTGAAATGTGTTTTTTTTTCTTTGTCATTGATTTTTCTATTGAAATGTCAATTTTGTGGTTGATCTATCCTTGCATTTTTCTTGTTTAATTTTCAACAGCCAAGAAGAGGTTGCTTTGAAATACGAGAGGAAGGTGGCAAGAAGTTCATAAGTCTGCTGGTAAAACTTATTCTTGCAGTATTTACAAACAGCTAATTTGTTTTATGTAATTTCATGGTTGTAAATTACCCTTCAATACTCACTTTTTGGGGTTAGCCTCCTAGACTTATTCCCTATTTTCCATTTAACATATATGCATAGTCATGAAAGTGATTTAGTAATTAGAGAACTCTTATTTATGGAAAAAATGAAATTGTCGTTAAAAGTTGATGATAGGATGATAAATCAACTGTTATGTCATGGTTCTTGATACAGAACAGATGCAATAGACTAGTTCAGTTTTGGGTAATAAATCAACTTTTACGGTTTTAGAACACTGCATGATACAAATTAGCTTGTGATATAAGTAAATTTACTGCGATAGTTAGGTTACTGAATGCAGACCATGTCTAAGTCTAGTAATTGATATGTACACATCGATGATTTCTATCTTGAGGACAATAAATATTCTAGCATTCTTGATCACTACATGGCTGTATTGAAAACCCCTTTACTAAATTTAGTAGAAGTAATTTTTATGATGATGAGTGGGATCATTTTCTTTTTGACAAGAATAAATTTGGTTTTTATGTTCTGCTTCTAAAGAAAGGTTTAATTTGTTGCAGAGGAATTTGATTTATATGTCAGATATTTCCAGCAAATTAATGCAAGAACCTCTACTTAACTGTGATTCTGCAAAATTGTTTTGCAGGACATGAAGCGACCATTTAAACGAATGAAGGACCTCGACATGGAGAAGGTGATCTCGGATATCGTTGACAAGATTAACTGATGAGGACCATGTGTGCATAGAACTGGAAGTATGTCCTGATTGTTACAGTGACAGCATTTTGTGGTTTTACCAGATTAACTTGCCATGTGGAAAAGGAGGGCTCGGAAAAAAAAAAGGAAAGAAAAACTTCATTTTGTGTATTATTTATAGTTCTTGATCATTCAATGTGTCAGCAGATGATTTTACATTCATAGGTATTGTGGATATTGTTAGCTGGTGGGCTTGTAGAAGATTCCAAGTAATACTGCTTCCGAAGCAACCTGGATCTGTATTCTTGTTTATCTTTCTGTAACCGCATTAACCTTTTAATTTTTTCCACCTCTAAGCTGCTTTTACTTTTTAATTCTTGTTTACCTTTTATGCTTGTGTGGGAAATAAGAATTAACAATAATGTTATAAAAAAACCTGGATTGTCGGGATTTCTTAACGAAATCGTCATTAAAATTCATAATAGAAAAAAACAATTATCGGAATTGGCAATTTTACCTTTTTTTATTTTCCAATAATTTTGATCATGAGATTACACACTGCCGTCCCTCCCAACGCTCACGGTCACCCCTCGCTTTTCGTCTTGAATTTCAATTATACAAAAATAGAAATAAAAAAATTTTCCATCTTTCTTCACGTTATATAACAATATCTTAGAAGGCTACTAAGCTCGCGACCAAGCCCATCACCGCTGCAACAGCGATACTTGAAGCCACTCTAGAGGAAGCGGAAGGAGCGGCTGCTTCTTCTTCTTCATCAGCATCTTTGGGTGCTGGGGGCGTCTTCCCCTTGGTTGGAGCATCGGCCGCTGGAGCGTCAGCTGGGGCAGGGGAGGGTGCACCATCTGGGGCTGCCGATTCGTCGTCATCAGCTTCCTCCTCCTCCGAGGGAGCAGGTGCCGCAGCCTTCTTGGGAGCAGGGGCTGGAGGAGGGGATCCCGGTGGTGGTGGAGGAGCAAGGACGGCCTCACCGAAGCCAGGGGCCACAATAGGTGTGCTAACGTGAAGCACTGATAAGTTGAAAGGCTGGGAAACTACGGACCCCAAAAGCTTAGAAACCAGCGGTGCACCCTTCACGGCCGAACCGAACACAACTTCACCTGGACCTAGCTTGGTAATATTCAAGAAACCTTGTTGACCCTGAGCCAGGCCTGTGGTTTGGTATAATGTGGTGAGAATGGCGCTCTTCTTTCCCAGCTTTTGGATCTTGAAAGTATCGAAGTAGTCAAGGACAACGTGATTCATGAGGATCTTCTTGACTTCATCACTAGGCCTGCTTGCGATGGAGGAGATAGAAGCGTTATCCAGGGCCAGTATGGTAATGGTTTGGCGATGGCTGATTTGTTCAGCGAGCTTGGTCTGGCTTAGAAGGTCGTTGAAACTGCCATAATCCGGGTATTGTCCAAGGACCTTGGTGACGTTGAAAGCTGTAGAAGTGGTGGACAAAGCTAGGAAGAATGCAACAATGAAGAGGAGGGAGGATTTGGCAGCCATATCCTTATCAATTTCTATTCGGAAAAGCTGATCAAAACAAAGCCTGGATTCCTGCTAGCTCAACGAGTTTATGCCCTCTTATATATAGAGGTGGGGGAAGTGCCTATATTTGATGGCTGGGAGCGAATTCCTCTATTGAACGGTGGAACATGGTGGACAGGTCAATGAGGTTTCCACTCTACATGTAAATCTTTGGAGTTTGTTTTGATAGAGAGAAGGAAGCCGAGCTGGATGATACCACAGGGAATTGGTCAATGCATGCTAAGAGTCACAGGAGGTGGATTTTCCTCTCTGTTTAACCCACGCTCCTCACATTTGCAGCAATGCAATCAAAGTGGAAAATGGCCAGACGGCCCAAACCTAATGGCTTCAGTGAGTCAGGCCGAGGACAACAGAAGTTGGGGCCTGAAGAGATTGGAATTCGGCCTATCCTAGCAGGCTTTGCTACAACAAAGATGAGGCGGAGGCTTTGAAAAGGGGAAGGAAAATAAAGAAAAGAAGAGAGAGGGAGGAACACTAGACAGACGGATGTAACTAGGAGCCAATGAAGCTGATGGTATTTTTGCTTTATTCCGAAAGCAGAGAAGGGTTTCTTAGAATTAATGTTGTCATTTCCAAAGGAGAATAAACATTTGTCAACTATGGTGGTGCAGAATACATGCAAACCTAGGCTTTTTTGCCATGCCGAAGCCTACCAATATAGCCTTTAGCCAGCTTCATGCAATGAAAATGCTTAATAAACAAGCCTGATTGTCCCTCCCTTCGGGGACATCCACACACATATTTTATGTATATTAAGTGGCATATATGTAACAACATTGCTATGGGGCAGCTGCTTTAATTTCTTAAATTTTACAAAAGGAATTTCAAAAGAATAAAAAATAACAAAAACCCAAAAAATAAAACATTACATAATCACTTGAAACGATAAATTTCTACTTTTCCTTACAGCCCATCTACCAGAAAGTTCGACTCCAAAAAGAATGCATTAGTTTATTAATTCCCTCGCTAGCTTTCCTTGATGCGTATGGGAAACAATGGCCGTCTTTCGGATTATTATAATTTTGTCAGGGAATGTGCTTCAAGCTTAGTCGAAAGGGTTGTTTTGGTTACTTTAAATGAAGTTAGTTATAAAGGAAAAGATCCCAATATTCCTCTTGGGAGGGAATATGGAATCTCCAAATAAATTTTACTTATCAAAACCCAAAGTAGCACTAGTAAGATAATACAAACCTTTCATTAATTAGTCTCTTGTGGTATTAATTTTGTTTCTTCTCTCTTTCCCTTTAACTTTTGCAATATTCCTTTATAATAAGCTAGATTTTCCTCTGGGGTGGGGGTTCTGGTTACTAATACAGGTTATACCCAATCTGGTACCCTTTACTTACTTTTGGATTCTGCACCTAATCTTGCTTTTTGTCATTAATATATTTCTAAGTACATATGCCCTCACCCTCTAAACTAATGCACTTTCAATTAGTGTATGTTGTTTTTTAAGCTTATCTGCATTAAATAGAAAGACAGTAATACGATTCTGAACGTCAGCAATGATTTTAGAGTCTCCTGATGAATGAAACATAGCTCGATTTGTATTGGAAAAGTGATGGATTAACTAAAATAGGGATCCAAGAAAGGCCATCGAGTGGGAAAGGATTAATGTGAGTTTCGCATCCCTATCTTCTTTCCAACTTTCTAAGGCTTTGAGTGCTGGGAGAGTATGGATTTGATGAGATGATGGATTGTAGTGGAGGGCTGCCTTTTGCTTGATTCTCATTGCACAGAGATAAAAGCTAATCATATTGATAAAGTTTGTGGTGCAGGATGAAACTGGGTATATATATGTCCCCACCAAACCTGAAAAACGATCTGGTTGGACAAAGGGAAAACGTAAGTCTCTGGCCTTAAAAACAAAAAAAAACACTGAAAAACCATTTGAAAATTCAGTAACAAGGAAGAAGAAAAAAAAGATGTATTTACCAATACAAATGGGAATTGTTGCTGAGCTGGTTTTGTCCTCCAAAATCCCTTGGAATCCTAGTTGGATATGAGAAAATGACATGGCGGGGAGTATTTGAATCTAGGCATGGCTGCCAACTAAGCACCTTCCATCATCATATTCACCCCAAATTCCTTCCCAACCTCCAGCTGTTTAGCTGTACAAATGCCCTGGAGATTGACTCAGCCCGACATCTAGAACCATCATAAGCTCTCACGTCCGCCAGGCTTTTCCTGTTTTCCTTACGTACAGTATACGGAAGCCTGCGCTCTCTTTATAGATATAGGTAGATAGATAGATACGTATCCCTGTAGATATTTGTCAGTGGTGATCTCTTCCAGGATCAAAAGGAAAAGACTTATACTAGTACATAGGAATATTATCTACACCTAGATTTTCTGAATTGAAAGCAATCGTGTAAGATCCCCATGCAAAGAAACAAGGGGTTGGCTGGTTTTAGTCATTTACATAAGTAAACATATGCATGGATCAGTATACTTTCAAGCTAGCTAGCTCTCCCGCAAGCCTAACTCAATGGTAGGTTGGGCCAACATTGAAAGTTGAAACACTTGAAGACGCCTTCTCCCTGAGCAGGAAAACATATTACTTATGAAAGAAGGAAGCGGGAATAATTTCTTATTTGAGGGAGGAAGTGTCAAGAAATTATTTATGAGCTGGAAGGTAGGTTTGTGGGATAGAAGCTAGCTAAAAGTTGAAATCTTTATCTAAAACGAGGACAAAGACAAGTGGCAGTTCGTGAGTGGATGGAAAGAGAAATAATAGTGTAGTTTGGCACCACTTAGGATTCGCCAAATCATGTGGCTATGAAGGGTCTGTATCGTTTAGGACATGGTGGCATGCTTAAAGAGGAACAGCCGAAACACAAAGAAAGAAAAAGGAAGGAAACCCCTTGTGCTAGAGCCTTTGGATGTCTAAAGGCATGCACAATCCTTCGCATTCCCCGCACGAGGGCACCATCCATTCACTCATCTTTGTATAAAAAGGTTTGGGAGGACCACTGCTGACTCCAATCAAAGATTAAAACGAAACCAAGGGAAGACGGAAACAAAAACACTCAAATCCATCAACTCCTACGGGTAAAAGAGTCTTGAACTTAATTATAAATATGAGCATTGACTCTAACTTAAATTGCTTTGAAAAGAAGATAATAACTTTGTGATAAAGTGAAATTTAAATTAATTTAAACGAGATAACAATTTAACGTCGTCGACAAGCATCCCGATGGGTGAAGTAAGTAGGATGACTCAAATTGCAATGTGGATGTAACGAATTCAAATGGTAAAAAATGTTACGAAATGTAACATTTGATAAGTTACAAGTCTTGAACTTATAAATATGGACATTGGAGACTCTACTAAACTAACTTTTTGGAGAGAAGATAATTTTCTGGTGACAAGAGCAACTTGTTTCATGGCAGTATTAATTTTCTTGTTATTCCAGATTACATACAAGGAGGGAGGGGGGAAGATAGATGGGAAGTTTAGTTCAAACTGTAGCGATGGCAAGACAGGATCTGCATTAATTGGATTGCTGCAATGTTTGAGAAACATCCAGAGACAAAGTTCATGGTAATGATAGATTTGACAAGACGGGTAAGGGAGGACCATGTAGCCCATGTGATGCCATGTGGGTAATGTTGCATTTTATTTTTCACAAACTGAAAATATATACAGAGAGATATGTATGGGATAAAATTTTGTAATGTGATAAAGATGACTGAAATCTAACTGTTGCATGTGGTCCATTCTCTCTTTCAGTTTGGAACTTAAAAGGCTTCAATGATTTCCGAATTGACTTTGAAATATTAAGGTTCTTTATTAGGTTCTAGTGGTGTTTTAACAAAATCCTAATCCAAATCATCAAGTCTAATGTCCCACTAATTGATAGTCAAATCAAAGTATATACAAAGCCATGAACAGTTTGGCACTCGAAATTTGATGTGTGATGATTAGTTGATTAAAACATCAGCTTAGTTTTTTTTTTTTAAAAAAAAAAAGGAACTTAGTTTATATAATATACAATATTTAAAAAGTCATAATCATTTTTTATGAAAGGAAGTAAAAAATTTTTAAAAGCTAACAATGTACAATTTCGTAAACTTCACTGTTCTTTCTTTAGAATTAATTAATTTTGATAACCGAGAACTCTTTTTAATTAAAATCTAAAAGTTTAACTATATATTAGATTATCTTTCAGGAACCAACCTTAATTATATTTGGTTTCATCATTGAGGAAAGGTTTCCCTCTTAGAGATGTAAATCATTTCTGATTTGATAGCTGTAATTAGCCTCCACCAATCCAAGCAAGAAAGAAAAGACGGCTAAAGTATTAGGGTTTGGTACTTTTGGTAGCTAGGAAGGCACTAGCAGGGGCTGGTGTGTATATAGAAATGGAGATGAAAGAGAGGACAAAAGGGTAGCCAAGAAAAAGACTAGAACTGACTTTAAGGTTTCAATTGATTGGCCAATGATGAGTAAGCAACAAAGGAGACCCCCAGACGCAGAGAGAGCAGATGCCTTTCTTAGTCCTTTCAGTGACCAAACCCACTAGCAATTTTACTAGTAGCTAGACAAGAAAGGGGGAAATATCTTCCCCTCTGCCCCCCTCATTGACAACTGTGCTGCGCTCTCTTCACGTGGACATCTCGTGCTTGGAGTGGGGCTACATTTGCAACACAACCCCAACCCCCTTTCGATCGATTGACTTTTGAAAATTATATCTTGTGAGTCACTTAATAGAACAGTGTCACAGCAGGATTCCCAATTCTGAAAAGCAAAGGGAAAAACCCTTGCACAACATAAAAAGAAGATTCTTTGTAAAACCCACACCCCCACGGATGGTACGTGTGCCCTAAATTTCATCCTGAAGGCATCCATGTACCCTCTTATTTAAACCCATTGGGTCCCACAATATCTAGATTCTCTACCCAAAGCCAAACATGCCTATCATCAACCCTTGTGTGTGCCCCACTCCCTTCTTTCCTGTTCCTGTGAAGAGTATTTTCTTCTTGTTTTTATGTGTCCCCCTCGTCACTCGTATATATACCCCCTTCCCCTCATTCTCCTTCCCTCACCAACA